TCTGTTGGTGGTCGTTCATCCTTATGCTTCAATTTGTTGTCCATGCGTCAATTTCCCCATTCATATGCATATCTTTCAGCGTGCCACTTGAGATTCCATTGATCTTCATAGTTGGGTTATTGTNNNATATACGATATGTGGGCCTATCTCGTAGAATATGTTCCATCTTCTCGGTATATTGTTTTTTGTCCATTATAACTGTAGCTCCTTTGCCCGCCTTAAGAACTAATTGTTCATTCTTTTCCAGGGTTTTGCGTATTACGGCAAATCAGTTTATCTGTGTAGGCTCCTGGTGTGTCAAGATCTTTGGAATTAGTTCCATCTCCATTTCCCGTTTTGTCTCCTCAGGGAATTTCTCGACGATATTGATAACCTCCACCAGAATGTCTCCTAGATGGCTTATGTGATTTTGAATTGAAAAGTTGAGTCCGTTTTTCAGGAACGCAGTTGTTTCGCGATTGAGAGGGATTCATGATAAGTTTAAGACTTTCTTCCTATCGCCGTGCTAATCAGTAAGTGTTTTCACATCGGAAGCCACTTCAAATGGGTGTACTGACTTTAACTTGGGCTGTCTAAAAATCCCAAACTTACGCAATTTATTGTCATGCCGTTTTGCTATTAAGTCAGAAATCCTACGTGATTTTCTGACAGTCATGTTCTAGGGTTTTTGAAAAACTTCCGGAGACAGGATCCTGGCCAAATCACGCCGGATCTTTGGCTAAATATCTATAAACTTAAACAACTTATAACGTTCACTATCATAAGTCTCATTCAGTTTCTGCATAAAAGCCTGGTGGCGATGCTCATTAACCTTATCCGAATGGTAGGGTGTCTTAAGGTCACATAATTTAGGAGTGATACCATAACGTTTACAACACTTTAAAAAAGTAATATGAGGATAAGCAAACTGTCATAGAAATTAGGCGTTCTGGTCAAAATACACTAGAAATTTACTTGAGATGCCGCATCCTACCAGAGATAGGCGTTCACAATTTGCTTAGATAACATCAAGGAGAGGACCCGTGAAGGGAAGGCCTTTTATCTGCAAGCATGACAATCAGAGCTTAGGCACTCTGCTCAGTGAAGCGGCAGTGTACGTGCTTCTAGGACCTTTAGAAATAGCGCCTGGAGTAAAATGCACACAGGGACTGGAACCGAGGGAAATCTGTCAGTTAGAAAGATAAGGAACGGATCCACGAGACAATGAAGGGATCCGGATTGGAGGCCCGAGTCGGATAAGCCGATAGAAATAGGGGTCGGGGTAAATAGCAAGTGTGATGGGGCCATACTAGATTTGCCACAAAAGAGTACATATTTTGACGAGTGGAATGTAAACAAGTGGGTAGTTTGTGATAGGTTAGCAGTGGGAGAAGAGGGTAAAGAGTATATAGATAGGCTAGGACAGAAGAAGGAGTGATAGTGTAACCGTTTTCGGCAGAATATTTGTCGAGGGTTTGGCTTCACTTATCTCTTGAACGAGTTCGTAGCTTGGTGCGGAGGGCGGCAAAACTCACTGATGATGCCGGCGAAACGTTCGAGAATGTACCAAGTCCACTGTCAGATGCTGGGGATCCTGACAACTACTATGGCAGACGACTTCGGACTAGGTGCGTTCTACATAGTCTCCCTGACAACAAGACTAACTTGCGACGAGGTCAATCCACTTTTAAAATCGAAAGGAGACTGCGACCATTACAGAGGCCACAACATCTTGGTCTTCATATATTTATTTCTATTGTTTTCAACGTTGTGCTATTGTCAATCTATCTAATGCGACTTTCCTCTCGATTATTTGCTCATTTAATATAATTGAGTGCTTTATCGTTCGAGGCCGATTGTACCTGAATAATGTTTACTAGTCTTTTAGATGAGAAATACCTGCTATTTTGCTATCACCTTCACGATTCAGATTGGGTATCTCTGTAAAAGGGAAGCGATGCATTGAATTGGGTGCTGGCATTACAGGCCTGGCCAGTCATGCTGCTTCACTTTCCGGCGCTATTCGAGTTATTGCAACCGATATTGATGAAAAAGATGAATTGGCCCATCTTGCCTCTGTCTCCGGATCGCATATTTATGATGCTAAAATTGTTTCTCAAAATTCTCATTGTAAAGGCCAATTCGTGGGTACTCTTGCTATGCTCCAACGCACCCTTGAAACTAATCGAGAAGCTTTGCGATCGGCAGGAGGATGCCAAATTGAGGCTGCCCCTCTTACGTGGGGCAGCGCAGAATCCAGTGTTTTTAGTGAACCGTGGGACTATATCTTCGGAGCTGACATCATTTACCACTCGGCCACTTATTCCTCGTTGGCAGACAGTATATACCGGCTAATGAACTCAGGAGGCAAACTTAATCATCGGACAGAAGCGCTATTAATTTACATGGAACGTGGTCTTGATGAAGCCATCTTTGTTGAACTATTGCAGCATATTAAAGGCCTCGAGTTAGAAAAACTAGAAATCCCGCCTATTGAG